TCTCATTGCCTCAGTATTTCCCTTTCTGGATATTTATTTATACGAGTTCTGGCTGCCAGCACCCGTTTGCACTGTGTTCCTCTGCCACACGGCCCACGGAGGGGTGGCACAGCAGGGTGAGGAGGCTGCACCTACAGCCAAGAAACTGGTACCTTCAGAGAGCATTTCTGAAGCTCAGCCTGTGACACCAGGTGTGAAACAGCCACTCACAGGGCCGCTGGGTTTGGTGGTGGTTGGTGCCCTGCTGCAGCCCATCTTGTGCCTGACTGATGGAGGGCAGAGAGGGGCTTGCCATGCAGCACTGGCACAGATATAGCAAAGCTCCTGCTGACATCTCCCACTCCTTTGGAGCCCTTGTTCCAGCCGCTGCAGGGAGCAGTTCCTGGCCAGTGGCTTGCTGGCAGCAGATCCCACATGGTGGGATGGTGCTTGTTGTGCAAGGCTCTGTCCAGAACCAGGCATGGGTAACCTGAGCTCACACCTCCTTTGTTTAGAGGCATACTATCCCCTGGTTGTGTAAGACGCACTAGGTTGCCCAAAAAAGCACATTTGATCTCACAAAGGTATTAAGTGTCGAGGGCACCTGGACAAAAGGGCCCTTATAGCCTGGAGTGGCCGGGGAGGTGTCCCAGCACAGGGACTTTTTGGAGGCTGTGGAAGTACTGTCTGCTGGGAAGGAGCTGGCAGCTGCAGGGTGGGTGGGGCAATCCTCAGGAACCACTCCTCGAGGTTCCTCAAGCACTAAAGGAGAGAAAAATCTCCTGGCACTTTTCTGAAGGCTCCTCATGTGCTTGCTGGAAAATTAAAAAATTCCCCCTGATACAGTAACCTGTGTGTGCCAGCTGGTGTGCAAGTGCCAGCAGGGATTTCTCTGGAACAAGCTGATTTCCCAGCATGGCTCTTTCAGATCAGCACAGCCTCACTGTTACAACCACAGAATCTCAGGCTCCTTTTCCTTCCCTTTAGTCCTGGGCTCTGGGGTAACAGTGCTGCCTGATACTGGGTGTCCAACAACCTGTTGCTCAATGCTTTTCCCTGGCTTAAAAATCTTTACTTATATTGGAATGTATGAAACTTATGTGAAAATCATGTAATTAAAATTTCAACTGGCCAGACCCCTAAAAGGAGAAAGCTCTGTGCAGGGTTTGATGGCAAGTGATGTGTCCAGCTCTTACAGGCTCCCTCGGTCAAGAACAAGTCCTCTGAGGTGTCCTGGGAGAGGTGTCACTCCAAAATGGATATCCCAGCACTGACAGAAGTGGGGACCTGCTGGGTGGCCTCATAGGAGGTGTCCTTGATGGTGGTGATGGTCTGCTTGGTGGTACTACTGGTGGTCTGCTGGGTGGTGGTGGTGAAGGGCTGCTGGGAGGACTGGCTGGTGGCCTGATCGGTGGAGGGGGTGATGCTGGTGGTGGCTTGCTGGGTGCAGGGGGTGGTGGAGGTGCTTATGGTGGAGGTCCCAGAAACCCTCCCAGAGGCTGGCCAGCAGCTGGTGGCAATGTCCCCAGGGATGGCAGCCCTGTGGGGGTTGCTGGAAGAGCGCAGGGACAAGGAGGTCTGCTTGGCAACGGAGGTCTCCTCGGCACAGCAGGGATCCTCAGTGGCTCTGGTGGCCTTCTTGGCAGAGCAGGGCTCCTGGGAAATGGAGGGCTGCTGGGAGGCAGCGGCCTGCTCGGCGTCCTCGGGGAAGGTGGCTTGCTCAGCACCATCCAGGGGCTCACCAGGTAAGGACAGCACCGTCCGGGTGCCTTGCAGGGGGAACATCTCAGTGCTGTTTTGGGGGAGCAATGGTGGTGCTTCGGTAGATGCTCAGGTCTGGTTTGGAGCTGATGCTTTGAGAAAAACAAGATAAAAGCTGCCTGGGAATCCTGCAGGTTTGCACCGCAAAGGAGCCTCCTGAGCTGCCCAGGGAAGGGCAGAGGAGGCGGCAGCACGGACGTGTTTGCCCATAGAGGGTGCACGAGCTGCGCGCTGGTGGCTGCTGCCGAGCCAACACTCCCGTCTGCAGCCCACACGATTAACTCTGCTTTGAAGCCCAGCAGAAGCAGAAAAAAATGATAAAGCAAAAGAACCAAGCTTCTGATAAAACTGGAAAATAACTAAACCAGGGATATAACTGAGAAAACTCGGTATCTTTTGCCATTTCTGGTCTAACTGGTCTCTGACTCGCCCACCTCCTCAGCGTGGCTGTGTGTGAGCAGTGGAGCCGGGCTGGTTTGTGCCGGGCTCAGGGCTGTCACTCGCAGTGTCCCCCTCGCTGTCCCTGCAGGCTGAGGATCGTGGAGGAGACGCTGCCCAGGGTATCCCTGAGGCTCCTGCCTGGCATCTCGAGTTTGCTTGACATCACCATGGAGGTGAACATCACAGCAAGGGTCAGGCTGACCATGGATGGCATGGGCTACCCCGAACTGGTGACAGAGAGATGTGACACGCTCCTCAGTGGCATTAAAATCAGACTCCTGAGCGGGTGAGTGACGGTGGTGTCCTCCTCTGCCACCACGAGCTCTGCCAGCCCCACCCTGAGAATGGCAAACACATGAAGGCATTTCCCTGTTATACATCTCCATCCCACCATCCCTGCAGGTGATGGCCACTCACTGGCCATGTCACGGGGCTGAATAACGGGCTGGTGGTGATGGTCTCTGTGTTCCCCTCACACAGCCACAGAGAACAGATGTGCTCTCCCAGAAGTCCTGTGGGACAGTTCTGTCCCGTGTGCCACGTACACAGGTCATTTTAACTGACATGGTGTGGGGTCTCCTGAGATGTGAGCATGTGGTGTGTACATTGTAGGAGCCACTCGGGCTGAGGTTGTTTCTGCTCATTTAAGGAGACTATACACTAGTAGATAAAAGGCAGCAATAAATTTCCCACTGGCTATTTTGGGATGCAAATTACAGTTATCTCATGCAAAATCCAAGCAGAAACGATTCACTTTGCTGCTGCAATTGCCTTGCTCCGGGAGGTCTGTGCTCGGCGCTATTCATAGGGAATTGTTTAACAAGACCCATTTACTTTGCAGCAGGTTGTTTTCATGGTGCTCCTTTATTTTTCCACAGCCTGCTCCCAATTGTGGATAATTTATTGGCAAGCGTCCTGAACAGACTTCTTCCTAATCTGGTAAATCAGAAATAAACCCTATTCTGGGAAGGAGTGATGAGTTTGAAAAGCTGCAGTGCAGCTCCCCATGACATTGCTGGTGCTCAGAGCAGGAGCACAGTCAGTGTTCCAGGGCTGCTGCATCCACCCACCCAGTGGCTTGGGATTAGTGGGGGACACATACCATGTCTCCAGCAGCTTGGGAGAAGCTTTTCCCTCCTTCTCAACATGAGGTCTGCCCAAGTGCTGAGAGTTCCTAACGGTGCTCTGGACCATGTTACAGACTAATGGAGTCTCTCCTCCCACCCGAAAGCCACAGGGTCTTTCTAGCCATCGCCCATGGGCTCCTGGGCCCCAATCCCACTTCTCTGAGGGAGGGCAAGGTGCCCAGGGACACACCCAGAGCTGGTGGAGTCCCCATTGGGACTGCCATCCCACGTACCTGGTGCTCCCATGCCCAGGGAAAGCCCTGCAGAGCCAGGTGGGGCTGCGTGTCCTTGTCTGGTTCTGAACAGGGGTTCTCACCAGCCCACCCTGACTCCTGCAGCTCTGCCTGGTGGTCGACATCGCCCTGGGACTTGTCAGTGACCATCTGGGACTTGTGAACTGTAAGGACATGATGGGTCCCACGTCTTGTCACTGCCCTGCACCACGTGTCACCTCCGCTCCAGCTGTGGGAGGACTGGGACCCCACCGCACCTTGGGGGGAAAGAGCAAACCCCTCACTTCACCCTGACCCCAGATCTGCCCCATGCCAGGAGCAGGGACCTCCAGCAGCTCCCTGGCTCTTCTGGAAGAAAAGGAGCTGCCGGGCAATGAAGGGAGGATTTGCAGCTGAGTCCAACAGGGAAACACAGACACTCCCTTCCTCTGTCCCCAGCACTGGTGCCTCTGGTTTGCTGGGCAGCATCCAGTACACTGTGTTCAGCCTTCCCCTGCTAACAGGCCAGTTCCTTGAGGTGGACTTGGAACATGAGTCCTGCATCTTCTCCTTCCATCTATGCACAGGGGTTGGGATATTTCCCTTGGGTTCAGGAGGACTCCTTGGGCTGTGTACCCCTGAACAGGGGGCTCCAAGGCGAGCTGTGGAAGTTGGCAGAGGTCCTGGCTCTGTGCCCTGCTCTCACCACTGTCATGGGAGAGCGCAGCAGGGTTTGGGTTTCATGAGAAGGAAGTGTCACGGGCCTGACTTGGCGAGGCCATGCATGCAACCATTTCACACCGAGGGAATATGAAGTTAACCGTAAAGGCAAATATTGCAAACATTTTGACCTGTGTTTCCTTTCCTTGTGATTCCAGGGAAGTCACACTTCACAGCCAGCAAAGAGGAAATGTCCCTGCTCCATCCTTCCCTGGGCTTTCCTCATTCCTCACGTCGGGTATATAAAAGCCACTGCCAGCAGCTGTGACCATGGGCAGCTCCACTGTGACATCAAAGGGTCCAGGTAAGTGGCACTGAAGGACTATGGCCACCGTGCCAGCTCCATCAGGCAACCCACAGCTCAGTGTAACTCGACTTGAAAAGCAGGAATTTTAATGATGTTTTCCTTTGATTTCTGTAGCAGCATTTAATCATTTATGAAAATTAATTTTTAAAGCTAGCAGAGATCTTCCTTGTTAAACTCCACGTTTATTCCTGTTGTTGTTAAGTTTGTGATAATGACTAAGCTGGCAGAAAAGGACTGGAAGTTTTTTCATGATCTCGGTGACCAGAATTCAGAGCAATTTTCAGCTTTCCAGACCTCGTCTCAGCTGGTGTAAAATAAGTGTTTATCTGCAAAGCCAGACGTGCCTTTTGCATGTGCAAGATGCTCAGCTCGCTGAAATGTGTGTGACCGAGGAGCAGCACCCCGACAGATATTGCTAATAACCGCAGAGATAGCTGCCTGCTTGGTCACGTATTCTCTCTAAGAGCTCTTCTAAGAGCCCTGACATCCATTTTGGCACCCTTTTGCAATGCTGTGCACGTCTCGCAGAGCCCCTCCAACAAATCCCACTGATTTTATTTGACACGATTTTCAATAGAAGCTGCTCGAGCCTCTCTCCTTCTCTCCTGTTCAATAATCGTGGCTACAGGAGCTGTGCATCATTACGTGCTGATCAAAGGGAAAATGTAAAAGACAGTCGAGTGAATTAAAGTCTAATTTAATTGTGCCGAGAACTGTCATAGAGGGATTTTTTAAAAGTATCTGGAAGAAACAAAGGAGTTGTTCAGTCTGACCTAAATAATGTTATTTCTCAATGCTGAACCTCTGCAATCTGCACCTCTTACCTTTTTTTCCTCAGGAGGGATGAGGCGGGGTTTCCATCTGGGGCACAGGCTGTGAAGGCAGGTGCTCCTGGAGCTGGGACCCACGGCAGCACTGCAGCAAGAGCCTCTTCTCCTTTCTTTGCAAACACCTTTCTGTGCATAAACAAACACTTCCCAGCCTGCACTGTCATCCCGAGAAGCTGAGTTTGGGCAGGAACAGGAGGTCCTTGAAGGTGCGTTCTTTTGGCTCGGGGCAGATCAAACACAGGGAAAACGGGCTCTTCTCACTGCCTGAGTGAAGCAAGATGAGAAAAACAAACAATCTGCCCACAGGAAAGTGAGTCTGATTCTGGATGTGCTTTGGGCTTTAATAACTCAGGGTGCTCTTCACAGTGGGCAGAAGGACACTGCTGAAATGCTCATCATTTTTTATCCGGCCGTGCCCCTCTGAGAGTTCCGCTTTCAGGACCATTTCGGAGCGGTGGGAAGCCATCTATCTCTCTCAGTACAAGGTCCTCCTCCCTCATCTCCATCCCTTTTCCTCTCTTAAAATGGCATTTTCGCTTCCCTGCAGTATCAGCCACCCAGCTCTGCAGTGTGGGAGCCCAGACATGGATGGTTCTGGAGCAGTGCAGCACCGGGCTCCAGCTACTCTCTGCTAACCAGAGAGTGGTTCAGCCTTTCTGGGTGGGAAGAAGGTGTTGCAGGCCTGGACTGATCCCCTGGGATCTGGGGGGGGGGGGTGGTTTCTGGAAGCTGAATGTCCAGGGGGAACCTCCCCCATCACCCCAGGGCAGTGCACGTGAAGGATGAGGAGCTGTACCAGTACCCAGACTGTCTGTACCCATATGCTGGAACTGGTGCGTGGGCTGATGTGGCTCTTTCCACAGATGTTGGGTCAGGAGATGCCACACTTCTGGTGTCTCATCCTTTTCGTGGGCCTCCTGCCCTCCTCCCAGGGCTTCCTCAACCTGCTGAACCCAAAGCAAGCTGCAGGTGGTGAGTTCAGATATTTTCTGTGTTTCCAGGGGAGGGACATGGCACAGTCCTGTGCCATTTTAGGCTCATGGCGTGTCCCTCTGGTCATCAGGGAGATGCTTCCTGGTAGGATCATCTCTGTGGGGAACCCAGCTTTGCTCAAGGATGCTCAGGGATCCCTATGAGATCTCACAAGCAGAGCAACCTAATGTGGCCAAATCAACCTTTCCTGCCAAAGGAATCTTTCCAATGGTGGAAGTCTGATTAGTAACTGGGCCTCCCCTGGTGCAGGTCTGCTTGGTCTCATCGGTGGAAAAAGTGGATTGCCTGGCACAGGTGTTCTTGGTGAAGGTGGGCTGCTTGGCACCGGCCTCCTGGGCAAGGGAAGTGCAAGTGAAGCAGAAAGCGAAGGTCCCCTTGAAGCAGAAAATGAACCCAGCAGATCTGGGGTCCTTGGCACAGGCCTCCTAGGTGAGGAAGGTCTGCTTGGCATGGACGTGCTTGGGAGAGGAGGGTTTCTGGGCAGTGATGGCCAGGACAGTAACAGAGTTCTGACTGTTGCAGGAGGACATCCTGGCAGCAGCGGTCTGCCTGGCACAGGCATCCTCGGTGGGAAAGGCCTTGGCACAGGCATCCTTGGTGGAGAAGGACTTGGCACAGGCATCCTTGGTGGAGAAGGACTTGGCACAGGCATCCTTGGTGGAGAAGGACTTGGCACAGGCATCCTTGGTGGAGAAGGACTTGGCACAGGCATCCTTGGTGGGGAAGGCCTTGGCAATGGTCTCCTCGGCAATGGCCTCATCGGCAATAACAGCCTTCTTGGAGATAAAGGTCTGCTTGGCACAGGGCTGCTTGGGAAAGGAGGTCTCCTAGGCAACGGAAGTCTACTTGGTCTTGATGGTCTTCTGGGTGAAGCAGGAGGACTTCTGGGTGCAGGAGGCCTGCTGGGTGGTAGAACCTCTCAGAAAATATCACGCTATGCCTGGTGAGTCAGAAGCCCCATGGTAGGGCTCACTGCAGGGTGACCAATAGTGTCCAGGGCATCAGACCCTCCCTGTCATACAAACCACCAGTCCTGGGCTCACATGAAGATCTGTGACAGGGGAAATTCCAACCAGAAATGGGAAAAGTCTTCCCCATGGGAGTGCTGTGACACTGCAATGGGCAATCTGGGAGGTGGGGGAATCTTCATCCTCAGAGGTGGTTGAGAGCAAGCAGGACACAGCCCTGAGAAACCTGACCCTGCTTTGAGATTGGCTTTTCTTGGAGCAGGGGTTGGTCCTTCCCTACCTTCACTTTTACCTGGGAATATCCAAATGGGTAACAGGTCAAACGATGAGCGGGAAGAGATGGGACTGTAGGGTCTGCTCCTGCTGATCCTGCCATCTCAAGGTGGGTTTGATTTGGTGTTGACCCCCAGGTTGAAGGTGCTGAACCTCGAGAACGCCCGAGTGTCATGGAAGGTCCTTCGTGGGACTGAGCTGGTGCTGAACCTGTACTCGAAGCTGGTGCTCCGCTTTCCAGGGTGAGCAGGGCTGGAGAGTGAGGCCACGGGGGCCTGAGAGCACTGGGGAGGATGGGACACTCCCTGCTGCTGGAGAAACATCCCCAAGTGCTGAGCAAACGGGCTGGTGAGGAAAGCTCTGAGCTGTACTGCTGCCTCTCCCTGCAGCCATTTCCAGCTGTCCTTACTCCAAAGCTGCTATTGCCATCCCTGGAAGTGTTCAAAAAACCTGTGGATATGGCACCAGAGGACATGTTTAGTGGTGAACATGCTGGTGGTGCTGGGTTGATGGTTGGACTTGGTGATCTAGAGGTGTCTTCCAACCTTAATGATTCTATCATTCTGTGATCTTCTATAGGACCAGGAGCCTGACAGAAGTCCCAAGACTAAAGCACTGTACCAGCTGAGCCTGTGTTGCAGCTCCTGTGCCGCTTCTGTTTCCCCCATAACCCTCCACGCTACTCCCCTTTTTTCCAGGATTTTTAGCTTTCTGAGTGAATCCTCGGTAGAAACGAACATCACGTCACACATCGCCGTGACCCAGGACACCCCCGGGGACCTCAAGCTGGTGATTAAGGATTGCAAGAACCTGCTTGGCGGCTTCAGCATCAACCTGCGGAAGGGGTGAGTGTGTGGGTGAGCTCCTGCAAGTTTGCAGTGGGGCAGAACTTCAGTGTCACGGACTGACACCATAACAACCAGATTATGGGATTCAGATAACCATCTGCAATTCCTGCTAGAGCCTGGGGGAGCTGTGGGCTTGCGGCATCTTTTAATATAAGAGGAGACAAGACGAGAGGGGCTCCTCCACAGCCACTGGTTTGTCTTGATGTCAAGTCCTAGGTTTTGACAACTTCCCTGGTAATTTTGTGTGTCCTTTCCCTCCCCAGCCTCCTCACCAACCTGGTGAGCAGCATGCTGAACTCTACTCTCAAGACCCTTGTCCCTGCACTGGTGAGTGTCTGAATGTTCTTTGCTGTGAAGATGCATTTCAGCTGCAATCAGTGCTCCTGCCAGAACTCTCTGGAAGATACACACACACACACACACACACACACACACACACACACACACACACACACACATACACAGAGGATCACAGAACAGCTTAGGTTGGAAAGGACCTTAAAGATCAGTTATACCAACCCCCCTCCCATGGTCAGAGATGATATATATACACAATATATTTACAATATATATTTATGCCTGCAGCCCATAAGTGAATTCCACAAAATTCCTTGATCTTCCTTAGAGTCAGAATTTATTTGTTAGGAGTAATTTCAATTCCATCATGCAATGTTATGGGATAATTTGTACTCGGGTGTTCCCTGGGGGGGATGAGCAGAAGCGACAGCTCCACTTAGAGCAAAGGGGCCTGTTAGAGAATCTCTTGTCCTGTTCAGTAGAACCTGTGCTGTTTTAAGAAGAGGGCTGAACGAGTCATATGGCTCTTCTTCCATGGAGGAACTGTGCTCTAGGAGCCTATTGTTCCATCTTGATTTGTCTGTGAAACTCAAGCCGTACTGGAGAACGTGCTGCTGCACCCACAGTGTTCTCACCAGGGCTGTGCCACTTGTCGTTGCAGCTCTGCCCGTTAGTGAACATCTGGGTCGGCATCATCAACATGAAACTACAGTTCCTCAACCGTAAGTTGTTAAGTTTTCTTTTCTATATTGAGTGACACTTGGGTTTTGTGTGTGGGAGCAGGAGTCTCTCTGCATGGAGCAGGAGCAGCTTTGCTCTGCCAGCAAAGCCGCTGTGGGTGGCACAGTCCTGGTTCACTGCCACTGCCAGACACCACAGTCCTGCTCTTCTCATGGGTGTTTGTCCCACCTGGGACAGACTCAAGCTGCTGCCAAGAGGTGTCTCTGTCAGGACCCTCCACTGCAGCCCTGCAGAACCTGTGGGGTTTTCCTTCCCCAGATCTGTTCATGTCAAATCTCACACAGACATGATTGCTGCTTCACTGCGAGCAGAGCTGTCCCTATTTACCCCCAACATTTCCCCTGTGATGGGACATGCATCTGGAAGTTCCTGGGCAGCAGCTTTCATGGGAACCTTTGAACCCCGGGAGGTTTGAGATCCACAGGAAGGACGAGGGGTTTTACTCCGTGGTGGGCAGGACGATATTCTCCCAGCCTCTGCCAGACGCTGCGGGCAGAGGGCGCCGGCAGGCTCTGGGACCCACAGCCAGCTCTGCCCAGCCCTGATGGCCTCTCCCTGTCCCCAGGCGTCGTCTCCTTCGGGCTCCTGGGGAAAATCTACTCTGCCCTCTCCAAACTGCCGGTGACATCTGGGCATTTTGTGGAGCTGGATCTGCAGGTACAGCCCTGTCCCATCCCGTGTCCCATCCCGTGTCCCATCCCATGTCCCTGCACTGCTGCCCTCCCTCCACATTCACACATTCTAACGCCTCCTTGTTCTTTGCAGAATTCCCCATTCCCAAGCACCTTCATCGACTGGCTCCTCCAGAGTGAGTCTGTCTCCAGTGCCACTATGGGGATCCCCAGTGGTGTCTGTGAGCCAGAACAGGGCAGTTAAAAGGGGGACACCATCCTGGGTAGTGGCCAAGAGTGGAAAGGGGGTCCTCATGGTTCTGGGATGCAGCCAGAGCTGCCAGAGCTGCCGACTCATCTTGGAAGAGTCCCACAGAGCACTTGTACCCGGCATGGCACAGCAGTGCTGGGGGTGCTTGGAGTGCCTGGTCCTCAGAGACATCCCCCCAGCTCAGGTGTGAGCAGCTTTGCCATTCTGCAGCAGTGGTTCCTACACAGAGAGAGAAAGTCTGTGCGCTCCTACTTATGCCCTGCACAGCCCTAGAAAAGTCACTTCACCTCTTATAAAAGGATTTAATAATATTTGCTTAATAGGAGTGAATAATGGTCCTCAGGATGCTGCGAGGATTAATTAATATTTGCAGAGGTGATTGGAAGAGCTTTCAGCTTCATATGCATGGAAAGTTAATATACAGGGGAGGGAAGGAAGAGTTGGAAGCCATCCCAGCTTCTCCAGAGCCATATTCCTCAGGGCACTAAATCATCTCTGCCCATAAAGCCGGGGGCTCTCGGGCAACTGGCACATGGGACACTGCCAAGCCTGGCCCAGCAGTGGGGGCTGCCAGGGGACTGTGGGGCTGGGGGGGCCTGGAGGAGGGAGTGCACTGACCTGGGTGTCTCTCCCCCAGTCGCAGGTGTCGATCCCGGGAGCAATCCATAGCCACAGACTGGAAGTACGTGGGGTAAGGAGGATTTGCTGCCTGGGGACCTGGCTCAGGACTCTGCTGCCAGTTGTGCCAGCGCCGGTGCCTGGTCTGGGTGGGATGAGTCCTGACCCTGCTGCCTGCTAGCAGGGGACGGGGAGAGCACAGGGCTGTCTAAAAACCTCATCCCTCCAGGTGCCTCCACAGGCGATTCCTGAGGAGGAAGAGGAGGGAAGGGAGGAAGATGACTCGATACCTGGAGAATAGACATGAAAGTGGAGAAAACCCAGCAAAACCTCGCATTTTCCTCTGCTCTACATTTCAGACTTCTCAGACTTTGGTGTCTTTTTACAGCCCAGGGTTATCTGTGCCTATGATCAGCCATGTCAGTGGTTAGCTGTGTGGGTGGTTAGCCATGCTGGTGACTACAGAGGCAGGAGCCCCAGATCTTGCCTCTGTGCTCTCCTGGTTCTCACGGCCACAAGCCACTTGTTATGGCACTCACTGATGAAGGGAACACCTTCACCCCTTGTTTCTTCCTCACGCCCACCCCAGCTTCACTGGGGCTGGGTTTTGGGCCAGGTAATGGCTCAGCACAGAGGGGATATTCCAGGTGCTGGAAGCAGGCAGCTGGGCTGAAGGCAGGGGTTTGGTCCCCTCACAGCCACCCCTCAGGAATTTCAGGATTTTGCACCAACTGCACCAGACCCCTGAGAAGGGAAGGGAGAAAAGGGATGAACCTGAACCTAAAAGCTGTAAATGCTTTGTCTTTGCTCTCCTTCTGCTTCTTGATTAGCTTACCATTTCAAAAGGGAATTTTGCTGTTTCCAGTGATTTCAAGAGGCAAAAAGGCCCCCAGTCTAATCCAGGCGCACACTCAGCCGATTTGTTCCCAAACAGCGACGCTTTGAACTGATCAGAGCGAGCGCTATCCTGCCTTGTAATCTCCGAGTGGATTTGGATGTGCTGCATTGTGAGTGAGGTGGATTTGAGGCTGATTCACACCCTTCTGTTACTCCTTACAATAAAAAGGATTTTTCTTCGTCTGCATTCAGCACGTGACTTGGTTCCTTTCCAAACTGCCAAAGGATTTTTGCATTTGTGAGGGTTTTGTTATTTATCTCTCCCATCAGCTACAGGAGTAACTCGCATGTGGGGAATATTGAATAGGTGAGTCTGCTGGGAAGGTGGGGAATCACAAGCTGCTCCAGCTCCAGAGCCAGGCCTGAGTCGAGCCCAAGCCCTGCTCAGGCTGCTGAAGCCCCTCTCTCACAGCTTAAAGTAGCTACAGAAATGTGGTCAATGTGTGAAATAATATTCCCCTCATTTGTATTTATGTAGATTTATTCTGCCCCTGTCCCTGAGCTGCTGGTTCTTTCAATGCCTGTTCCTGCTCCCACCTGTTGCCAGAGAGCTGGGATCTGTTCAACATGAACAAACACATCCCTGGTGCCCCATCAAGGCAGGTCCCTGCCGGACTAGGGCTGGGACCCCCAGGACTCCGGGGTGAGCAGGTGGCAGTAGCCTGCAAGCTCTCAGGCACAGGAGCTCACCCCCAGCTGCAGTGGCATCAAACCTCATCCTGGGGCTGGCTTTGCCACAGCCCCAGAGCAGAATGGCTGCACGGCAAGAGCTGGTGGGGCCAGGGCCAGATTCCTGAGCCCTGCAGCCTCTGGATCCACTGGCACTGCATCATGTGTGACCAGCCACTTCCCAGCGCCCACACTGGCCCTTCTGGCATCCCTGGTGGGCAGCACCAACACCCTTCTCTGCCTCTGCCCATCATGGTCCTGCCCAGACCCCCATCCCATGGGCACAGGGGAGTCCTGGTGCCGTTTGCACCTCCCTGGTGCCTCATTCCCATGGCCAGGGCTCCTGCTTGCAGCTAAACGTTCCTCTAAAAACCTTGGAGGTTCCCACCACTCTTTTCCCAAGGTGATGGGGTGACTGAGGTGTCCCCAGTGCTCTGGAACCTCGGCCCAGCCTCTCCTGCTGCTCCTCACTCCCTTTACCTCATCGTGGCAGCCTGTGAGCAAGAGATACCCTGATACCCAGAGTAGCCTGACATCAGCCCCACCCTGCCAGTTAATCACAGAGGTGGCAACACTACTGAGATGTGGTCATTAGGAGATGTGGTCATTAGGAGATGTGGTCATTAGGCATGTCTGGGCTGCACCCATTGCATCCCCCCTGCCTTTCACTCTGGCTGCAGTAACACCAACACAACACGCTGGGGACTCCAGGAAATGGATCTTGATGCCAATGAGCTGCATGTGCTCAGAGCACAAAGATGAAGAGCAGATTCTGGGTGCCCTTTGATGGCTGTGAGAGCGAGGACAGGAGGGGTGGCAGTGCCTTGGCCCAAGCGCTTGAATCCGTAATGCATCGTTGGGCACCTTTGGTTTCCAGTTCCTGAGGAAACAGAAGGAGGAGGATGAAGGAACGTGCCAGCTCCCATCCCAGGCTTACTGGCTGTTAATGATTGCAAAGAGAGGTGTAAATGTTCCCTCAGTAACCTTAGAGACAAAATGCCAAACACCAAACCCTTCCAGGTGCTGCCGTGCCATTGGGCTGGATCCCACCTCCGCTGCCACAGAGCGAGGGCTGAGCAGCCAACAGTCATGGTGAGACCTGCAGAGCCAGTGGCAGCACCCACACCAGCCTGACCCACCAACATTAATAACAAATGGTGCCTGCAACAGGAGATGTCCCTGTTGCTGGCACTACCTGGCCCCAGTGTGCCAGGACAGGTGACTCTGGAACACCCCAGATCTCTGCAAGTCCTCGTCGCAAGGGCAGAGATGGGGTTTTTTTCTCTGGGGCTGGGGGCACCTGGAGGTTCCTTTAACCCCACTAGGTTCCCCTGCAGTGGCTGGGATATGTGGAAGGGCTGGTGGAATGGATGTTGCAGGGACCTGTGACAGAGCCCTGTGGCTGGAGCCTGGCTTGGGGCTGGGAGTGCCTGTGCAAGCAGAGCTCCGAGTGGTGCCAGCTCTCCTGCCCAGAGCACCCCAAGCTGTGTTTGCCCACAGGGATCATTTTGCAGCAGCCACCCCAAGCTCCCTGCTGCTGGTTGCACAATAGAACAACAACCTGAGGGTTGGGGCCACCAGCCAGGGTTTGCCTTGGCCCAAGTTGGTGCAGAACCAAAGCCCTGAAGGCAAACAGTGGCCTTGGCTGTGCCTGTGGCTCCGCTTTTCTCTGTTGTCAGCTGCTTTGGTGGAAAAGAGCACCCAGCCCCAGCTCAGCCCACTACTGGAAGGACACAGGATTGGCTGGTCTGAGGCTATTCCAAACTTCTCCACCCAACATGGGAAGAAAGGAGCCCCAGGAAGGCGGTGGAAGATGGAGGAGCCATCCCCGGGCAGAGCAGATGGCAGGCAAGGAGATGGCAGGACGAGCACTGAGGATGTCACCAGCTGTGGGAGTTTTGTCCCCCAAGTCCTGGGGCATCTGTCCACTGTCCAGAGCATCCTGGGTGCTGTTAGTGTTGCCACTGCTTCTGCCACGCTGAACATGGGATGGGGAAAGCTTCCCTGCCAACAGTAAAAGGGTTTTTCACCAGAATTTTGATAAGAAATTATGGGAAGAATTTTTTTAATGAAAACCAGAACACTTCCCCTTTTTAAAGAGAAACTGTTTTTGCAAATGCCTCCTGTTTGGTTCTCATAGCTTCAAACAAGGCCTCCTACTATTCTTTTTTAAACTTCCTGTAATTAAATAACAGAAAGATGACATAAAAAAGGAATAAACAGATTGAAAGACACTAAATAACGCAAAAGAGAATGAAGCATCTTGTTTAGTCTCAAAATCCTGTATCAGCCCGACCAAAAGCAAATCTCGTCTCTGTTCCCGTGCTCCAGACATTCCCCTCGCTGTCCTCATGGATGCAGGAAGGGGAGGAGGACAGTCCTGTCTGGCTGTTCATTTTCATGGCAGTGCACTGAATATTAATCACCCTCAGCCCTGTGCTGGAGGCGCTGCTGCAAATTGTTGGTCCTGCAGCCTCTCTAATTCCCACATGTGGGACACGTGGGATCCCCACAGTGACCTGGCTCCACAGGTAACAAACATCCTCCCCAGCAGCATCCCTGAGCACCCTGACAGCTCCATTGAACATGTCACTGTGCATCAGGCTGTTGTCATCCCTGGGTTTGCTCTCAAGGAATTGGGCACATTTCTCCTCCTCGTTAATGTGAGAAAATAAATGTAGGGCAACGAGGTTGGTTCCTGCATTAATCCTCTCCCCACGCGGCCGACCTGGCCCCGCATCCCTCCTCACCTGTGCAAGCAACTCCTGGGAATGAAGCCCAAGGAAAAAATACACCCGGTCTTACTGAGATTGAGGAGATCTGGTTGCCTTCAACACTGACGGGCTTTGCTCTTGACACCGTTGAAGACACAATGAGAAAACCCCCCACAGACAAAGGCACTCGGCTGGGCTGGCCACCCTGCCTGTCCCCACACTGGCCACCCTGCTTGTCCCCAGGCTGGCCACCCTGCCTGTCCCCACGCTGGCCACCCTGCCTGTCCCCACACTGGCCACCCTGCTTGTCCCCAGGCTGGCAGCCCTGCCTATGCCTGTGCTGGCAGCACTGCCTGCTTCATGTTCCTGGTGGCAGTGGCAGCTTCCCCACTCCGGCTGCCTGGGAAGGTGGCTCTGACCCAGCAGGAACAGAGACCCCAGTCAGGGGCCACCTTGAAACAATGTGAAATAATTCCCTTTTACATTTCCTAGCGGAAGTTCTGCTCATGGGGAAGAGCCCCTGCCAGGCACACAAAGCATGGAAAGCAGTCCCCTGTTTTTCACAGATACAGCTGTCCAAAGGATTTGCAGCACCTTTGCCTCATGGAAGGCATTTTAATTACTCTACTGACTCGTGCTCTTGAGAGCCCCAGGCGTGTCAGAGCTCAGCCTGGGATCCGAGGGAGGCAGAGAGACAGGGAGGGAGTGAGTGGTGGTCCCTGACAGCCCCAGTGCAGCCCCACCACAGCCCAAGAGCCCTGCCCTACACACCCAAGAGTCACTGGGCCATTCCACACTGTCTCTGACCAGCATCAGACCATCTTCATGTCTCTGATCTGTGCCTGACTGTTAAATAACTCAGCAGCAGGGGAAAAAATACTTGAAAAAATATCTGGAAGATATAGAGCCATTAATGAAAAACATCAGAAAATAGATATCAAGTAATGACACCACGATGAGAGCCTATTAATAGGAAAGGCTAAAGATAAAACTAATTTAAACCTGATGAGACAAGACATCTCATCTTCAGGAGAA